TCCTGGCAGAGACACAATGAAATCACAGCAGAGAGGAGACTGTAAAAAGAGAGATCATTTTTCTCCTAAAAATAATAGCAGTCAAGTTGACCCTAGCAACTGTGAAGGAAAGTGAAAATTCAAGCCCAATTTCGTACTGGGAGTTATACACAGATTACAAATTCAACATTACTACCCTTGCATTGTTTTCCAAAGAGTGAGTTTGGATGGTTTTGCATTAAGTTTCTTTCTCTTATTAAGTTTCTTTCTTGGACTTTATAAACAACCCTGCCAGGATTGGGAGGCTTGTTCTTCCAGAAATCTCGCAATGGGACAAGAAGAATTTAATTATTGCAGTAGAATGACTTTTTTTTTTCATGCTTATTTATTTAACGTTTGAATAGTTGGAAATGTCTTCTCAGTGTGTGAATTAAAGGCTTCCTGTCTAGAGTGTGCAAAGGACTCTGAGCACTCACAGGATATAAAACAGATTCATAATGGAACCCAACAGTATAAACATGTCCTCAGTGCAGACAGAACCCTTATATCTTGTGATGTGAAACACACCCCAGTTGTGTCTGTGTTCTCTTCTGCAAATAAACAAGCGAGAGATGTGCCCAAAATGTTTCCCTGGGACTGAAAACTTCTCGTCTTGTTATTTCATTCTCTTTTTAGCACATTTATTTTTTTTATTGGGATACTTTGAAGAAATTTAATATAACTTTGCTGTGACTCAGTCCAGCTAAATTTAGGCCACTTGAAGACAGCAACTAGCCTGACCCAAATCCATGCTGCTAGTCCTTTTAAATAAGAGGTCTTATTTTATAATTTGTGCCATTTTCTAGGTATAATCATAGAGTATTGGATGTATGCACACATGAATGAAGATTAGGTTCTTGAGCTATACTTTTCCCCAGAATCTCCTTTTCAATTAACTTCAGACAGAAAAAAAAATTGTGGGTAACTATTATGGAGAATGATACTTCTTTTCCCTGGAAAATAACTTCCTGGCCAGATTTGTTAGATACCCTGATACTGAGACCAGAGGTCTGTCCTTCTCAGCTGAGAAAAGTGGATGGAGCAATTAAATCAGATCTGAGAGAGTTTTCTTTTTCTGCGTTGGAAAGTGTGCACAGATTCTCAACAGTTCCATCACTTTTTCTGGTCATTTCTCACGAGAGAAATATAGAATGAAGAGGATTGAAATATACAGAAAAGGGTCAAAATATAGAAATATAGAATTAAAAGTAGATGAAGGCATAAACTGGAAGGATGTTTGAGGTGAGTATTGAAAGGAACAACCCTTTTTCTGGTGTCTTCCCAATGATTGACTTTGCTGTAGCACTGTTGGACTAACCCTTACCTGGTGATATATTCCCAAGCATAGGAAATACTCCACATGTGGCATTCTGGGGGACAGATTAGCATGGGGTGTGAGTGTGGGGCTGAATTGGAAATCAAAGGCTCTAAGAAAATGTCAATTCACATCTGTTTCCTTCTCCGGAGCCAGGGGTACAGAGCATGATTGAGGGAGGTTTGAAAAAATGTTTTCTTCTTCAAAAAGGAAAGAGAGAAACATGACTCAACCCTCCATGGTATGAAGTCACCATCCTCTCTGTTATTCACTCCCATTATCTTTTTGCAATCTGTTCCCAAAGGAGCTTCCAGACAACCAGATGCTGATCCCTGCCTAAGAGTTATTTAAAAAAAAAAAAATAAAATAAAATAACAATTATGGTACAGAGGAAGGGAACAGCGGTGTAAAAGTCTGGTGCTGTATGAAAATCCTTCCTTCACGTAGAAAGTAAAACAATGTGGCCTTGTGTGCGTGGGGAGGGTGGGGAGAGGCTCTGCAGCACCTGCCTGTGTCTGGCACTGCAGGGGGAACTGCCCGGTCATAACTCACAAATACGGCCTGAAAGGTGATAGCCCGAGGCTGAGATTGTTTTACAGCCACACCGGGCAAGTTCCAGTCAGACAAAAGCTGGAATCACTGGAAGAAAGTGGATTTCCTGTCTATCTGCCTGGAGGACCTGCCTGGATCCAGCGCTCAGAGCCCAGTAACCAATGCAGACGTATTTCTTGAACTGGCTGCTCCCTTTCCTCAAGGGTAAGGAATTACACAAAATATGAGATAGTAGCTGATGAAACCTCATATGAGCACTGCTGGAGGTGGGGGAAGAAAATGGGGTCATTGAAAAATTGTGTGTCTGTTCTGTAAAATGCCCTGATTTGTTGTGTGTGCTTGTTTCCACACGTAGGAAATTCCAGAGGAAGTGGGATTTATAAGCTTTGCTCATGTAGGATAAGTCCCAGTAAAAATCTCTGGCCGTGAAGTGTTTGCTGAAAGGGCTCTCTTATTTTTCCAGGCAGTGTGAACTGGAGGGTTTGGTTCCTTAGTCACAACAGGTCTATGAAATGTTTTACCGTGAGGGTGATGAGACCCTGGCAGGGGTTACCCAGAAAAACTGTGGATGCTCCATCCCTGAAGCTGTTCAAGGCCAGGTTGGACTGGCACGAGTTATCTTTAAGTATTCTGAGTAGCTCCATTGACTGGAAAAATCACTATCTTAAATCTGCAGAATGCTGTGGAGAAACTGAGGACCAACAACAGAGGAGTCGTGGGATACAGAAACTGTAAAACAACTCAGGGCCTCTGCTACACTGGCATCTGGCTGGATAGATAAAAAGTCCATAAAATCTATGAGTCTGAGGAAAGTGCCTCTCTTTCTCTGCTTAGAAGAGGCAGCACAGATATAAAGGGCTCCAGCACGTTTTTTTGTGTTTATACAGATATCCCCATCCCCTGGGGGCTGTTTGCACTGGCTCTGTATGGGCAGCAAGTCTTGCTGCTCTGCCTGCGTGTGCTTCCTGGGGAAAACCTGCCAGAGCTCTCTGATGGGACGGGGTGACGGTGTGCTCAGATTATTTATTGAGACTCAGGCCTGGGGAGCACTGCCAAACATCCCCAGGTAGAGTTTCCCTCCCTTCTGTGAGGAGAATGCAGCCTGATGTGGATTTCGGAGAAAAATAATTGCAGGTCAGAGATTTTGCTCCCAGACGACAGGTTTTTGCCTGAAAGATTCTTGGCACCAGAGGTTCAGAGGTCAAATGCTTTGATGTCAGGAGTGAAATGTTCCTTCTCAAAACACTGAAGCCTTAGAGCAAGCAGATGGTTTCATGAAGAAACTGCCTGAGCACAGAAGGATCTCACAGGTGACTCATAGCTTATTTCTCAAAATCCAGAGCAAGAACAGTTTAGGAGCTGTAATTGTGGGTGCAGACTGAGATCCCATTAACTGGCTTTTAAGTGAATTATGATTCAATATGCTGCCATTGACTGCTTCCTTGAAGGGGAAGATTTATTAGCCTCTTTTCCGAGCGAGGAGCTGATTTTGGTTTATGTTGGTAGCCGAGATCCCAAAAGTTTTCATCCCCAAAACAAGCTACTTCTGCAGGTTGCAAACTTTCTAAGCACGGTGGGGAAGAGGTGCTGTACAGTGTTAATTGGCTAAAGAGCTTACAAGGAACTGAGTAACACAGAACTCCTGCCCACGGTGATTTGTGTTCCAGGAGGTGAGAGTAGGATGTCTGAGTTAGCACCAGAGAGTTCTTCACAAAACTCAGCCTGCTTTAGTGTTTGCCAAGAGCTGAACTACTGACTTTAGTCAGAAGCACAATCTGAAGGCACCAAGGCTTAAGAAGCAGAGCCCCAGATATTTTCTATTCTTAAAGTTACAGTAAAGCAAAGCTCCTTCTCATCTGTGAGTGGGCAATTTTTTTAGCCAATTAGTTTTATGTCACCAGAGTAGTGATGTTATTAACCTATTTTTAATATCAGGTTTGTAATCCAAATAGTGGTGTTTTGTCATTATCCCCCTCAGCTGGAGTAACTGGGATGCACCAAAGCTCCCAGTCTGCCCCATTTTCCATGGGAATATCTGCCATGCACACACAAAAGTCCTGGGAGGAAGCTGAGGGTGGTTTTTCCTCACCATAAATTTCTGAGGAGATGGGGGTAGAGGCAGCTCAGAGAACATGCATGCTCCTAATTATTATAACTGATTATATAGTAATTATTACAGTCACAGGATTTGCACGTGTTTGCATCCATTCTGTGATTGCAGCACAGTTTGTGCAGAAGCCTTGTGAGGCACCAGTGATCCTGGTTTCTTTAGTTTATCCTGTTTTCTTTATTTTTTTTTGAGTGGGGGAGGTGCTGGTGCTTTGTTTTGGGCAACAGTTGGTTTTGGGTAAAGTGGGCAGGAGCAAGTAGTGCAGTGTGGGAAACCAGACACCAGTTCACTTCCTCAGTGCTTCTCGAACTTCTCAAGTTTCTTTATTTTTAAATAATTTCGTTCAGAAATAATTATTTTTTAAACTGGTTTTGCACAAATATATACTCTAAACTGCTCGTTTTTTCATCTGTCAGTCAGAGTTTGGAAATGTTAAGAAGGAATGTAATGAATGTTTCCTCTTAGTAGACACAGTAATCAGCTCTTTGAAAAGAACACAACACCTCTGTTAAAAAAAAAAAGACGATATTTATCTGTTTTGAGTTTTTTTACAAGTGGAATTACCACTGATAGCTTTATAAACATATCCTTCAGATATACAAATTTGCACCCAGCAGATCAACAGTTTACAGGCAGCCACAATAAATATGCATCAGAGCAGGGTGAGAGGAAGGCAGTATGTCAGAGCTGCCATAATGGTTACCTTTCAAATATTCAAACCACTGTTTCAGCGTTCTCAATAGCCATGTTGTGGTGTGCTAGTGTGAAATTCTGTTTAAAATATGGCATTGGTACATTAAACAAAAAGATAGAAGATATGGAAACAGGCACTGTGCTTTTCTAAATCTTCATAACTCAATATACTATAAGTTTTGGTTGAAAGGGAGGATAATTTCAAGTGGAAGTTTTCTTAAGACTTCTGGTGGTGCTGTTTATTGGAAAACTTGAAAACACAACAGTGATAGATGTTGTGCTGAGAGTTCCATCTCTGCTGTGCCTGCTGTGGTGTTTCGTGATGACTGCTTTGAAAAAATATTTGAAATTGAGATCTAGGAGTTTAATTTCAGGATTTACAGTAAGCTTGGAAGAAATCTCCCTCTGCAAATTGCTGCCATCAACGAGGCACCTGCCTTCTTGGACTGTCAGTGGGAAAGCCACCTCCTCTGAAACTGGTCAGCAGAATTCTGTTTATATGTGGTTTTAGTCTCATATTTTATTTTGTAATCTTATTGCCTAGCTATACAGGTGTCCAAGTAATTTTGCAAGAAGAATCAGGGACTGTCAAAGTATTTATTTCTCTCAGAGTAAGGCACAAGTAAAATGTGTATTGCCAAGTCCAAATGCACACTGAATAGAAGTGACCAGGGAAAGACTGGATGAGAACACATCTGTGTTATCACTCTCTGACTGATAACCTGTATTTTCTGAATGTCTGAGCATCTAGACAACATTATTCCTGTTTTATATTCAATGTTATAGTTTTTTTTTCTGTAGACACATCTGTGGTAGTAAGACAGTTCCAGAGACAAAAATCAAAATCGTGCCCTCCTTTGGCTTTTCCCCCCTGTGCTCTTTAATTGCCTCTGCAACATAAAGCATCATAAACCTCTTAAAGACCGTGGGCTACAGGATTTGCAAGCAGGATGATCTCTTTGAGTAGCTGACCCAAAGCAGTGTTGCATCCACTTTCTGATCCATTATTTTCTCCAGGCTCCTCTCCCATTGCTGCAAGGACTACTCAGAGCTGGGAGAGGCAGCAGAGTCCACATCTTCTGTGTCATGTTCGTGTGGGGACACTGGTTGCCCACCTTTAACACGTTTCCACTTCATTCTTCTGTTTTGAAACCATACTTTGACCTGGGTGATAGAGAGGAAATAATTACTCCCTGTCTCAGTCTGAGCTGTACAAGCAGAGCTATGCATATTTGTGGAATTCTAGAAGAAAAGGTGAACAGAACTTTGCAAGTTTAAGCAATTCATCTTTCTGACACAGATGGGAACAATTCTTTCTAAACTGCTCCAGACAGAAGTTCCTCTGAAACCCCCAAAGGTGCTTTGCCTAGAACCTGTCTTCATGTCAAATAACCATGTCAACACAACAGCCACAGTGCCCCTCATGTATTTTTAAGATCTAGGCCACCCAATCTAATGCTTCAGAGATTTTAATTTGCTTCACATAATTGAGCAATTCCTCTATTGTTCACTAGGCTTTGAAAAGGAAACCTGGACTGAGATGACAATGAGGGAACAGAAATACATCTCTCCACAGAACTCTGCATTTTTATCTTTCCTTATCACCTCAAAATACCACCCAGGAAGAATGCATGTGTCAAACATATAATTCTAATGATTTCCTGTTAATTGCAGTCTAAGGTGGTGTCCATATTCCATATGTAAACCTTGATATATCAATATGTGCCAATGAATGGTGGGAAGCAGCAGCTTGCAAGAGACCAGTTATTACCAAATCTATCTTTAGTTTAGAGAAACGTAATTAAATGTATCAACTACTCACAGAAATTTGTAACAAGTGTGTTTGAAAAGAACGTGGAGGCTTTGTTTTAAAACACCTCTGTGCCACTGCAAAACACCCCCTCAAGTGACACATCTGGTTTTCAGTGTTAGGGAGAAGGGTTTTTCGTGGGGGAAGAAGAAGGGGCTGGGGAGACAAGGGTTTGGGAAGTACTTGTCTTTCGGTGAGGTCCAGGTTCACAGCTATCTCGTATCTCCTGAGCCTTGTCAAGTAGTTGTGGTGGGCAAATTCAGCTTCCAGCTCCTGCAGCTGCTCCTTGGTGAAAGCTGTCCTTTCCTTCCGGGATTTGCTGCGGGATTCTGTCCTGCTGCTCGAGTTCTGGTTCTCTGAGGGGCAAAGCACACTTTGTTGTGTAATTTGTGTGTGTGAACACGTGCACTGTGGAGGGTTGATACAAACAACTCGTTGAAGTGCTCAGTGGAAGTTTTAAGATGTTTGTGTTGTGCCCCCTCGAGCTCAGCGTGACTTGTTGGTGCTGCCAGTCTGATGTTGGAGGGGACAGGGGTGGGACAGCTCAGCCAGGAGGGGACTGCCCGGCTCTGCTCAGTCACAGAACTGCAGCTGGGGGAAGGGAGCTCTCATTCCTTGCTGGCACTGCATTGAAATGATTTCCTTCCCCAGATTTTTACTTTCGTTCCTTGTATCCGTGTTCTCCCCCTCCCCTGACCTGCCGTGCAGGAGGCAGCCAAGCCAGCACTTGGTGTTTGCAACGTGTCAGGAGTGCACGAAGGCCACCTCTGGTGCAGGATGTAAAAACAGGTAAGGTAAGGTAAGGAAAGGAAAAGGAAAAGGAAAAGGAAAAGGAAAAGGAAAAGAAAAAGGAAAAGGAAAAGGAAAAGAGAAAGGAAAAGGAAAAGGAAAAGGAAAAGAGAAAGGAAAAGGAA